CAATCTGGTGATTGACGAGTTTAGCTCCTGAGAGCAGTGCAGATCTGGTTATGTGCTTGCGAGTGATAAAAGTTGCTTTACTCCTCCTGCTATTCACAGATCTTTAGCCCATGTTTTGTCCTAAGGTTGACCTGGTTTGCTCATCTCCTATTCTCTCCTTGTTTGTAAAGACAGACTCAGGTAAATAGTACGTACACAGATTAGTTAATAGTTATTTCTGTAAAGAAGCCAATATAGCATAGGAAATAACCTAGTGGGCAGTCCAGTGGTGCATGCAGCCCAATACTTTGTCTCCAGTGATGGCATTAGGAGGTACCACTTAGGGAAAGTACAGGAGCTTAGTCGTTCTCTGTGGTTCATTTCATTGGTATTCCCCCAGCATTCCCAACTGATATATTAGGGCTATTAAAGGCATCCTAGCCTGGTTCCTTTGGTTTCCATTTATGGAACTTTTTCCATGAATATGGTACGTCCCTTTTTGAACCTACAGTGCTGTCTGCTTCTGCCACCTTTTCTGGCAGCAAGTTGCAGCATTTCATAGCCTGCTTTGAAAAGAAGTCCTCCTATCTATTGTAAACCACTTTCTGCTGGTTTCACTGTGTTTTCCTAGATCCAGTGTTGAGGGATTTGTTGAACAAATCCTTCATTCAACTAATCCACCGCCTTTCTGCTTTTGCAAAGTTTTGCCTTCTCTCAGCCATCTCTTCTCACAGCTCAGGACCTCCATTTCAGTAATGCCTAACCAAATCTGACATGTGTCAGTTTATTTAAGCTCCTACAGCCCTATCAGCACCTTACTACTGATATTAGCAATCCTTGGCTTATCCTAGTGCTGCAGAAAGTAGAGCCAAGCTGAACTTGTAGTTCTACATGCCTTGTTTATGCTCTTCCTGCCTGCCCTGCATTTCTCTGCAGCACACTGCAGCTCTTTGGGCTTATTTTAAATGCACTGTTACAAGAATGTCAAAGTGCCAGACACACAAATCATTGTTACTGAATCTCTGTGGCAGCTCTTAAAAGCAGAAATAGGAAAGTCAGAAACATCAACCAGCTCTGTCTTCTGCAAAAGTAAACCCTCACTGAACAATAATAAAAAGTGCTGTATTTTCCAAGGCAGAAGGTCATGTGAAGTTTAATAGGAACTTTTCACTTATAACTCCTAAAATTTCAGGAGGCTTGAGCTGACAAGTAATACAAAGGAAGCAAAAGTTGTCCTAAGTATGAGCCTTAACATACATGCAGTTTAAGATTCTTGAAGTGCTGATGATTTGTCAGCAAAATATAGCTAATTCTTCTCATCTTCTCCACCATAGGCCTACCCTGCAGCAATGACCAACTGTCAGTCCACTTCTGCCAGAGGCTGAAAGGCATTGGCAAGTGCTCGGTGCCATCCATACAGACTCAGTGCTGCTCCACGTGTAGTCATCCCCGAGTTCGTAACAAAGCAAGATATTGGGATCAGCGAGGCCTCAAGCAACAAAATTATACTAAACTTAGAAGAAAATCACCTCAAAACCAAGAAAACAACAACCAAGCTGCTCAGCACTAGCTGCTTTTTATCTAGTTCATTTGGATGGGGCTTCTGTTTACAGGTTTTGTTTCTTCATGTTTTTTCTGAACCGTCCAACATATATGGAAATCTGTGATCATAACTGGGAAAACACATTCCTTATGGTTATCAGTTCTAATGTACTGCTTCATTTTTTCACCTGTAGAAGTCCAGAATTTGTAATATTATTTGCAATGTGCAAGCAGCTAGTACTTAGGTGTGCATAGAGGCTATAGGCAAGCTTGGAAGAAGGTTGTTTTGTGTTTTTTAATGATTGTTTAGCTTGCTCTTTCTTCCATCTCTTTTCCAAAACTCTCTTGGAACAGCAGCACCACTTAAGAGTGCTGAGTGAAGGCGGATGATGGGACAGCCATTCCCCTGTGCTCACTCACTTTTCTGTTCTTTTTTTTTAAGAATCAAGGTGAGGTGTCAGTGTTTCTCTAGATTGTTTGCTCACTTCAGTTGTTATAAAGACAAAAGTAGAGTTTTGTAATAACTGATTATGATGTGTAGGCTGATTTGAAATGTGTTTTTTAAAAGAAAACTTTTTCATTTCCTACTTGACTGAACATCTAAAGGATACCTCAGAAATAGCCTGTTCTGGCCAGTTTTCTCCTGCTTCTTGCTCTAATGTAAAAACAAAACAAAAACAAAAACAAACAAACAAACAAAAAGAAGAAGAAGAAACCCACCAAATCTGGAATGTTAAGTTCCCAGATATGCTTTAAGCAACATTTATTGGTACCATGAAAGCAAAGCTGTTTGCATCTACCACCTGAATAGGCAGATATATAATTCACACAGATAATCAGTGACAGTTCTATCATTTAATCCAGTATTTCCTGTAGAGCATAAACCCACATCCACATTACTCTTATCACCTCACTCACAGCAAACTTCATCCCCCCCACCATGCAAATCCTTGATCATAGTGAAGGTGATGACATCTGGGATTAGGAGCCTAAGACCAGAGTATCTGCATAGCTCTGGACCTCTGGCATTAGGAGAGCACCAACCAAACAGTGTTTTGAATAGTGTGTTATTGAAAATGGCAGAACAACGCTTAGGGACACCAGACTGGACCCTTTGAAGGAAAGGTGGGCATTTTCAAAAGAGGTGGACAGAGTCTGACATTTAGATTCCTTTGAAATTCAGTAGGAGTTGGACACCTTGGCTCTTCGTGCTCTTTTGAAAATCATGGATTTACTCCCTAGCCACCTAACGATTTGAGATTGTAATACAGGGAAATGTCATATTTTGTGCAATGTAGAGTGAGATACATAGCCATGAATCAAAGTGTCACTATGGTTACAGAGTTATGATTATCAATAGTTGTATTTCTAGACAGACTTTTATGAAAGTTAAGGGAAATATTTGGGCCTGACTATATCATATTAACCTAATGAAGACTGCAAGTCTAATTGTCCTTTTTCATAGGTTTGTGACCTTTGGCTAAGGGCTCACTTCTTCACTTGAAGTCTCTGGGAGTTCAGCATGGTAAGGTTAGATTTACTAACCCCTGCGATGGCAATGTAACCCCAGTTATAGGTGCTGATAAAACTCAAAATCCACTGATACAAATATGGTGCTAGTATAAATAGCTGCAGGCAATGACTTACAGTGGTGCGTGTGCATGCATGGGTGTACATAGCCTACATGCACATTTTCTTAAAATAATACATATCTGTGGTGTTGCTGGCCAATGCCAGACATACTGCTTTTTCAGTATCACAGTGTGCTTATGTCCTTCTGAGGTCCTGAATGGCTACCGGCCCTCTGAACAAGAGAAGGCAGATTGGTTCTTATTCCGTGGGAGGAATCATGTGAAGGACTGAATCATGTGAAGGAGTGGAGGTGTCCCATCTGTGATTCAGAAAGCATTTAAGCAGGGTTTGGCCCCAGGCTGCATTGTGTAAAGCAGAGCCTGTAAAGCCAAGTACAGGCAGTTGTCTGATGTCCAAGCAGCCTAGACTGGTGGGAATGCACAGTGGAAGTCAGCAAACAGCCATCAGGCTTGTGAGCTAATGAGAAGGGAGCTGACTGAGTGGAGATAGTGCAGGTGGGAGGAAAAGTGCCTGGGAGGTTGTGCCTTCCACTGCTCTTTGCAGCACTGGTGGAGTAAAACCATTCCTGGCTTCATTGTTTACTACAGGGAACTGTTATTTCATTTGAAATGGATAAAAGTGAGTAAGTGATATGAAGGACTTTCTACCCAGGGAAGTACAGTCAGCACTGTTGCTCAGCTTAAAACTTTAGGGACGAGACTGTGACAACACAAACCGTTTTAATAGGGCAGTGCCACTGCTGTATTTTACATAGGTTTTTACATTGCACTCATCAGCCTAATATCTCCTCTACGCTAACAGTATTTGCAAACATCTCTGCCATCCATTAGCAAGGTTCTTTTCTTATGACATATCTCTTTTTAAGTAAAGGTGGATTTATGATCCTAACCCAGATGGTCGCTATTCTCAAAACTGAATAGAGTATTAAGTGCTGAGGCATAATATCATTGTATTATCACATTAGCCTGAAACACTTCAGCTTCAACAGGTTGTTCAGGAAAAATGTGTATTTGGCACATTCACTGCTTGTTCTAGTATTTCAAGTTTTTAAAAGCAAACTACAATGACATATTTGTTTCAAGCTTCAATAAATGGCATTGCTTACATCTGATGTCTCTGGTATTTTGTGTCCAGTGCAAGAAGATTCATAAAATGGGATTACAATGAAAAATAAAAAAAAAGAAAAAAACAACAAAACCCTAAGACAGTATCTTCCTGTGCTTTCTATCTAGTTATTCCATCAGAATCCTCATCATTAACATATTTTGATGCTTGATATTCCAACACAAAAGAGATCATTAAAGAGGAGAGGGAAAATGTGGCAGAATAAATCATGGTACTAAGTTATTTCCTATTAAATATATGACATCCTACCTCCTGAGATCCAGCAGATGTGCCCTGGCAGCAGATGTATGTATGTATGCCTACTGTGGGAAGTGTTTGTTTTCTTGAGGGGGTTGTTTGCAATGTGCTCATCCCAACCTTGCCCCCAAATCCTTTCAATACTCAAGTTTTGCAAGTACTGCTGATTCTGTGCTGCCCAGAAATATGATCGTGCTAACTCAGTTCCTTGACCTGACCCAGAAGCACAAGGATCAGTGTTAGGTGTATCTGCTTGGGCAGAGAGCACTGTAAGTGTGCTCACTTACCCAACTCCACCCATTCATCCATGGGTTCAGCCTCATGACACCATGTGGAAATTGTAGGATGTTGCTGCTTCTTGCTTAACTAAGTAGGTGAGCATCTCCAGCCCCCAGGGGAAGCAGCCCTGTGCAGGTGATTTAAGAGGGGGGAATGAATTGGGTTGAGAAATGAGTTGAAGTTCCTCCACTTTGTGAGGCCTTATTGAGTGATGCCAGCACTGCAGCCTCCCCAGCCCTTACACCTGCAGGTAGTAGGACATGGGGAGCTCACACAAGGATATTGCATGTTTCTGTGACTGACTGATCCCTTCTTTCTCTTAATGGACAAATATGGATCTCTCCAGGGTGCCCACAGGAACAAAGCCTGAGGTATGTTAGCAGAGCAGTCCAAGTCCATTCTGCAGACACAATGATGGTAGCAGTAAAAGCCAGGAGGATGAGCAATAGCTACACCACCTTCAAAGTGGACAACCACCCCTGTAAGCTGGGGTGCCTGGGTCTGGGGAGGAATCTGTGGTGAACATGTGAGAAGGGGGAATTTGTTACATAGGTAGGCTGCCATTAGATGCCTTCTTGAAAGACACAAATCAAAACCAAAATTATTCAAGATTCTTCAGGACTTCTGCTGATTCAGCATTACCTTTATGAGTCATTAGATGTAGCTTTTATTAAATCAAAGTTAAAGACCTGGAACAGAGGAAAATAATTACTCAGAGGGGTTGGTGATTTGAGGAGGCACTCTTTTCCTAGATCTTTGCAGTTACCTCTATCGAGTTACAACCAGCTGAGAAGATGATCCTCGACAGCTGTCTGTTCTCAGACAGCTTTTATTGACTGGGGAGAACTCCATGAAACTCCATTAACTTAATGAAGCTTAATGAGTCAAAAAGGCCTGCCCCAAAGCCTCTGTGAGAAGCAGCACACTGATTCCCCTCCAGATTTGAAAGGAAAGGGGTTGAGCCCAGCTCCTTAATAACCTAATACAGTGCCCAAAGCATGCAGTGAAAAACATGGTACCTCCTCCCCAGCTGTGCATTACCTGCATAGCACACACGTGTGGATCAGGTCCTTCAGTAAGACTGTCAGGGGAATGTTTTATCCCTGAATTCCGCTGTAGCCTATAGGCCAAGCTGCTTGTGGATGTCATAGAATCACAGATCATTAAGGTTGGAAAAGATCTCCAAGACCATCCGCTCCAAGCATCACCCTACCCCCAATATCACTCACAAAACCATGTTTCTAAGCACCATGTGCAACCTTTCCTTGAACACCCCCAGAGACAGTGATGCCACCACCTCCCTGGGCAACCCATTCCAATGCCTGACTACCCTTTCTGAGAGCAAATGTCTCCTCGTTTCCAACCTGAATCTCCCCTGACCAGAACGGTCTTCTACAAGGTCCAAGCAGGAGCAGTCACAATTCTGGGGATTTCAGAAACACGTGGTAAAAACGTTTGTTCCAGTTTCACTGGTAGCAGAACCTGTCGCATCTCTCTGCCATCAGAAGCATTCTCTACCTCTGCCCATGGGCAACCTCACCCCTTCTTTGAGCACTGTTTTTGAGCTGACAGGGCTCACTAACCCAGCAGAAAAATTACCGTGTTTTAGTGGCTGTGTTAGTTTCCTAACTTAATTGGTTAATTAACTAATTACTCCTAACTAATTAGTTGTTCTAACGATTTAATTAGGCCTGCACAGAGAGCAGAGGCTTCTCAGGTAAGCGAAGCAGCAAGAGAGGACATAGCCCAGGATGGAATCTTCTCTTTTTACAGAAACAGAGCAGGTGCAGCAAGACTGATACCAGCAGAGCCTGGAGCTGTATCTGCTCAGAGTATCGAGCAGTCTCCCAGGGAGAAGCCAGCCTGCTCAGCCTCCATTGTAGGTTGTTTTAGTGATCGATTAGGTGTAAGACAAGAGGGAGCTCAGCCCTGAGGTTGCAAAGAAGCCACCTCTCTGAAAAGTCAAAATAAAAAAGAACATGGAGGAAAAATCACTTGGAGAAACTTTGGCTGCAGACGTGAAGCTACTATTTAATCCCAGTAGAGAGGTAGGACAAGGTTTAGAAGAATGGCGTTTGTTAAGGTGTTTTCTGCAGTCAATGTCTGTGTCTCCTCAGGTTTTGGGCTCTGGGTGTGATGTTCTGTAACACCGTAGGCTATAAAAAGCAAGGAAAAGTACTGAGAAAAGTGTAAGTATGTAAGACTTCCATAACTATTCCTTCAGTGACACAAGAGAGGGACTCAGTTGATGTTCACCCCTAATTACAAAGAGTTAGGGGCTATAAAGCTTAAGCATGAAAGGTAAATCTAAGCTAATATATGCAACTCAATTGTTGGTGTCTTCAGGCTAGCAAAACAAAACTGAATAGTGGGGGAATAAAACAGTGTCTAAACAAGTAATTAATTCAGCCTGAAACCATGCTAACATAGAGTAATCATAGCATCTGAAGTCTCGTAATGTCCTCTTTGGAAGTCATTACTATCAGGTGTATCTAAAACTTCGGAGCTATAATCCTTGCAAATTCAGCCTTTTGGCTTAGTCACAGTAAAAATACAGATGTACTTACTTTTGCAACTATCACTCTGGGCTTTGCTGGAAAAGGTGACAGCTCTGAAGCGGACCTGCTTTTCCTACCTCAGAGCTGTTACGTGGTCTTTGAAAACAGCTGTACACACTGTCCCTGAAAAAATAACATTTTTTTTGTGCTCAGTTGTTTGCTTTTTGAATAGTGTGTCAGCGTTGACGTACATTATTGATATTGTGGCTCTTGCGTGGAGTCCTTTGTGGACGAGTACATGGTTCGTGAACACTCATCCCACAGGTGATGATGGTGACGGACAGGGCTTTAAAAGCCCATTATATGTCCTCTTCACCCACTGGCCTCCCTTTAAAAGTGAACCTGAACAATGAATTGCTTCTGAAAATACCACTCAGGTGAAGGTAATATCTGGGCAGCCAAGCAAGTGGTAGGTTAAACTCTGACAAGGAATACGAAAAGTTTAAAGCAGTAACTACAGTACCAAAAAGATAAATGGGTGAGCCCAGCTCATATGTCTCCTACCCCTGGAGATTTTTGCAGCAAAACACTATTGCTTAAATCACCTGGGAAAGAAGGAAATTACCGTTTACAGTCATAATGCATGGCTTTCATGTGTGGCCATTGGGATAGGTGTGACAGACACGTGGACCCAAAAGGACAATTACTAAGATCTTCTAGGGAGCCATGGGGTCTGGGAGCAATTCCAGCATATCAACAAGTTGTGCAGAAAGGTGCTGTAAATAGAGCATGGTTAATTTTAAACAAATGAAGGAAGCCTGTTTAAGCCTTTCCTATGGGTAAGAGATTTTACGTGCAAGCAGAGTGCAGTGCTGGATGTGCTTTTCCTCTGGACTGCTGGGTCCCAACTGCAGCGTTTGGGAGAGTTCAAGCCATCTCATGGGTGTTGCTGGGTCTGGAGCTGGATATGGTAAGGCTGCAATGCCATCCCTTCCCATCCTCCTGTGGTGAACCCCTGGAACACAATTCATGTACATGTGGCACGTGTCAGCTCTTACTATGCTGTAGATGCAGAACAGAAACTCCAAATTCCCTTTTGTTTTGCATGAAGTCTCAATAAATGAAAAAAAGGGATGAAACTTGGATTTTAAGTCTTGCCTTGGATTTAAGTAAATGCTATCAGCTAGCAAAAAGAGAACATGCTGTGTGTGGAGAGGCTGAGGGAAAGCCAGAAACAAGAAAAGGCTGCATGTGGGGTCAAGCTAATTCATTGCAGGTGAGAGGGGGGTCCCAGGCAAATCAAGGTCATTGTGCATATGAACATTTCAAGGCAGTGCATGGTTTTACTGCAGTGGTCCTTGGGATGTGAGCAGGCACCCAGTGCTGCCTTCCTCGAATGCCATATCTGTGTTCCTGCTTGCCAGCCCCCCGGGGAAATGGCATTGCTGTTTACCATAGTACTGGTGTTAGAAGAGATTCCCACTGGGAATGCTGGTGTGCTGGAATGGTGGCAAACATGGTATTAATGGGAAACCACCATAAGGAAGACTCCAGTATGAGGGAAGCTGATTACTCTCGTGAATACCAGAGAGGGAAAGCTTTGTTACAAACCCACAAGGACAGTCTGTGAATGGGACTGCGGTGAATTTTCAAGCACCCAAGCACACATAAGTGTCACACAGATGGCAGGCATGGAAACACTATGTTTTCTGTCTATTCTCCTGCATCTGTTATCTGTTTCATACAATAGATGAACTAATGAAGCTTGAGATTAAATTACCTCTTATCCTCTGGGTTCACTTCGAAGGGTATTGTTTGGTTGCTTGGTTCTGGAAGTAAAAATACCTTGTCATGTTATAATATATGGCAGCCTGAATCATACTCATAACAAATAATGCTGGCTTATAAAATTACTGTCCTTTGCTGCAAGTCCTACCATCTGAATGCTAATTGAATGATGTTTTTCTCCAGGGGAAAACTGCAAATTCATTTCGATGTGTTTCTATCCCTAGTCCTCCTAGACTTCACTGGGGACAGGCCTGGTCCTGCTAGTCAAAACACACCACTGGAATAACTAACACACTGAAAAGCCAGCAAGATTCTGCCCCAAGCTAAAAGAGGCTGTGCCAGACCCTGCATGCAATGGCCACGGACTTAGAGGAAATGGGACCAACTTTACTCCCACTGCCCATCTGATGGTGAGCTCAGCTGATCTCAGCTTCATAGCTGTGTAAAATGAACGTTTTTGCATCTCAGCTGACGGGAAGGCAGGAGCGTCCTCAGGTTCTAGCATGAGCTGGGAGTTTGCCAACAATGGATGTCCCCTTGTTAGCAAGTTACAGCTGACAGTTCCCTGTTACTCCAGGATCACTTCATTTCTTACCACGCTTGTCTTCCAAGCATGCATTTAGGCAAAGAGACAGTGGATGTTGCCACAGCCAGACGCTGCTGGAGTTAATGGGAGCAGAAATGGGTCTTGGTAATTAATGCAGTCACAAGTTGAAATAACTAGATTTTTAGCAAAGCTTCCTGCTGGCTCATGCTCCCTGCCCACAGGGGACATGTGGTCTGACTGATGAGGGAACCCTCATTTGTAGGGGAGCCTGCTGGGGGCAGGCAGGGCTGGCGTGAAACCCCTGCAAGGATGCTGGGACTTCTGCTCATTTGTGTCTTCACACCCACTCTGACTCAACCCCAATCTGTCTGACCTGCAGTCAACCTCCGAATGGGAAATGTGGCTTTCACTGCTCAGTATTCAAAAGGGCAACGAGATAGGGAACATACAACGTGTTCTCCACTGAGCTCAACAAATCCTTTAAGCAACCCATGTCTCCATGTTCACTGGCTGATGTCGTAACACAAAGGAAGCTTTGTGCTGGGAGCTTTTATCCTGCTGTCGTGACTGCCATGTCCAAGACCCTAGTAGGTGTGAATCTGTAAAAACACAACCAAGGTCAGTGGTGAAGTTTTCCATCAGCTATAGGCAATAGCCCATGCCCTAGGTGCAGAATGGTTTTGTCTGTGTAAATGAGAAGTTTTAACAACAGCAAAAGGAACCAGCTTTGCTAAAAAGTTTAGTCATTGAAAAAAGGAGTATTGGAGTGTTAAGTTAGGTTCAGTGTGAAGTGATGGAAGACATCAAAACTGCTAATTTTGATATTGCTGAAATTAAATGTTTGTTGGGGTATGTGGGCAGGCACTGTTTACAAGGCAGAAACTGTATTAGAATATCCTGAGTTGGATGGACCCACAAATTAGACATCAAGTCCAACTCCTGGCTCCTCCAAATCCAACTGTAAGCTGTATTAGGTGGCTCATCCAGCAGCAACCTTGCCTGGAGCTTGTGTTTGGATCGTGTACCTGACTGTGGCTTGGCATGAGTGCCATGTCTTTCTGTGCAGGATGCTGAAGTGGTGTCCTTCCACTCTTTCCTCTCAGAGGTTTTTCACTGTTTTATTTTTTTCAGTGATAATTATAGTAGCACTCAGAGATGGACAGTGTGATGTGATATTTAGGGCTGTCAGCTGAGAGTAAGGAGCATCTCCTCTCTGGTGCACAGGGAAAAATCTTAGTTTCATCTTGACTGCAGGTGATTTCTATTTTAAGTAATCAGTCACCTGAGAAAGAAACAGTCACTTGGGGATGCCATTCATTTTCTGGTTGTCGAATGAATTATACAGATTTTATACAGGAAATGTACTGAGCACAAAGTTGAGAGTTGTTGTTTTCACTGGGTGTGTTTTACAGCCAAAGCAAGTTTGTGCTGAATTGCCCCAGTAAGTAATTATCAGTAGTCCCCAAACAGATTTATGGAGTATGTCTGACTGACTCCCATTGTTTCAACAAACACAGCCCCGTCATGTGCTTGAGTCTGAGGAACTTTATAGGGGAAACAATAAAATAAGTCTTTGAGGAAAGAACATTATGTATCCTCTGCAACAGTCAGTGCCACTGCTCCCTCTCATCTGGGAGTTGTCTGCTAAGATGAAAATATGCCGTATATGGAGCACAAAATCTGCTGCAGACAAGAACTAACAGGGAGCTGGCTTCCTTCTCCTCTTTCATCACCTTTATTTATTAGGCTCCTTTAAATTTTTGAGTAATTATACATTTTTTATCCATGGATGAGTGAATTAAGGTTGCTGATTAGAGGACTATTGTGTCCTTAAGAGTGCTTGTTCCAATCAAGGGAAAAGTATGTTCTTAATTTGAGCTACCCTGGGGTTGTGTCCAGTGAAATCAAGGCATCTTGTTTGCTTCTGAGTTGGGCTGCTAGGATGACTGAAAGTCCAGATTAACCTCATGTTCCATTACTGCACGGGCTCAAGCCTTTTCCCAGCCAAAAATTTTTGTACTTTATGCTTTCAACCTCTGGACTGTGTGCTGTTATTTCTGTGCCAAAAATATGTACAGCCTCCATTAGAAATCTCTTCCACAGAGAGGTGCTTGCAAACTTTGGTCAAATCTTCTGTGAAATGAAATAAATATGCTGAGTTTTTCCAGTTATGCCATGGATATTTCATGGACTTCAATTTTTCCATTCTGTTTCT